TAGGTCATGAGATCAACAGCTGCGGCTTTGTTCTACCTAGCTGATGTTTCAATAAAACCATTTCTGTTTTTATTCACTCACATTTATAGTTCCTCCTTTGTGTTGACATTAACCAGTGAATCTATTAGTTTCCATTACCAGCAGAATAACTGAAACTATAAATAGTTCTGTATTTTCTCTCACAAATCCTTTCAAGCTGCATAGATGCCTTTAATTTGATAGAACATCTGGGTAATGCATCTTATTTCTCCTCTGTCTTTAGGCAAAATGCATACTTTCTTAAGCCTGTCCTTTCATTAGAGAGGGAAAAAAAAATCAACGATAGCAGTTCTGTCCCATCTGTTGACCCCAGATACATAATAGATAAGTTGGGCATCTAATTATAAAGGAATCCAGATAAAATCCAAAAGTCCGGTCACTCCATCAGATTTACAATACTTATTTAGAAAATAGCTGCAGTATTGTGTTTCATTGACTTGCTAGTTCTGCCAGAAAACAATGTATCCTAAATACCACAGATATAATTTCTTCAGTACCTGTCTTAATGCTATAAAAAGATTGGGTCTTTTCTTTCTAATGTAAACTAAGCTGCAAAACACCAATGTAAAACATACGCTCATAGCCAGATATATCAACGTATTTTAGCAAGTTTTAAAGGTGGTCTGCAGGAATGTAATTATTCTCCGCCAAGTGTTGTTCTGATATTAGAATAAACAGCTTATCACGTTACAGTTCTCTAAGTGACTGCGGTAATTGCTGTCACCCTCCTGGAGTTCTCAGAGGCAAGCACCTTAATTTCAGCTTTGGTTGCAACTCTGCAAATCTTGGCTCACCTCATCTGTTTCCTGTTTCTGCTTCAGTTGACATCTATGGGTCCTTTGATGACCTCAGTTTTTCGGGTTAGAATCACTTGTTTGTGCTGTTGTTTCTACTGTCATTTCCTTTCAGTTCATAGACATAGAATGATATGAGTTCAAAAGACAAGATTCTGAGTGAATCTAAAATCTAATCCAGATATTGGAATGTTTCTTAGTAATGTGCCAAACCTAAGTATTTGGTAGCTGAATTGTTGGCTGATATTTGGTTTTGTTAAACAGTCACTTAGAGCTGCCCTATGAATCTCTCCTGTGCTTGCTCAGCTCTCTTTTGGGCCATTGAAGGGAGTTTTTCTAGATCGATAGGAACCCAGCCTTTTCTTTCACAAAAGCCTCTAATGAATTAAAAAAAAATGGTATGCATTAAGAAAAAAAGTCAGTACACAGTCAAGAGAACATCACACTTTATACAATTAAAAGTAGTTTCTAACATAATTTAATGCTTATTCCATACCCAGTCTTCCCAGTTTTGATAAATGTCCTTTACAGCTGGTTTGTCCAAGGTAGTGATACCGAACCAAACCTCTTAATCTCAAGTTCATGTGCCCAGTGCACAGCAAGCCAAACACTGGGGTATCAGTGCTTGGAGATGGAGAAAAATGTATTCAAATTGGCCAAAAAGAGAAAGTGGGAGCATGGGTTCTCTCAAGTCCACCTTAACAAGAGCAAAAAGCAGGGGGGTTTTATAGAGCTAGGGGGCTTGACAGGAAGAGGTTCGGAAAAACAAAGGGATCACTTCCGATAAGCCCCTGGGCAATCTGACTTCTGGGCTTTAATGGCTGCTGGGGGCCCGGCCATCCCGTCATGGCAACCTCCCCAAAGGCATTCTCTTCTGCAAGACAAGCTCACAAATCTGCAAAGCAAGCTCACAAATCCTCACGATCCGTGAGACACCCCTCAAGTTAAACAGGAAAACAGCAAATTACTTATTGAATTATCTACAGTAACTCTTGGGTACCTGGCTTCAAGTAGGATCCAGTTAAGTACCGCATATTGCTAATGGTTGTCGTGATATTGTGATTTATAATAAAAAAATAGATATTTGATCTTCCTCCATTCCTGGCAAGGTTTTAAAAACTCCTAAAACCCTTGGAATTTACTAAGAGATAAGAGCAATAAAGGTGTCTTTTGTTATATTAATGAGGTGACTTTTGGAAAGCCCCTAGGTAACCAAAAGATGGGGGCTGGTTGCCAGAGGAACCTACCTTGTGATTAATAGGTTGGAACTTGCATCGCATCCCCTGACCTCCCGAATGGGGAGAGGGGCTGGAGGTTGAGTCAGTTGCCAATGGCCAATGATTTAATCAGTCATGCCTATGTAATGAAGTCTCCATAAAAACCCAAAAGGACGGGTTTGGAGAGCTTGTGCATTGGTGAACATGCAGAGATTCGGGGAGATGGTGCACTCAGAGAGGGCGTGAAGCTCTGCGTCCCTTCCCCTGTACCTTGACCCACGTACCCCTTCATCTGGCTGTTCATCTGTGTCCTTTATAATACCCTTTATAATAAACTGGTGGATGTAAGTAAATGTATGTCTGAGTTCTGTGAGCTGATCTCACAAGTTAATTGAACCCAAGGAGCGGGTTGTGGGAACCTTTGATTTATAGCCATTTGGTCAGAAGCACAGGTAACAACCTGGACTTGGAATTGGCCTCTGAAGTGAGAGGGGACTTGTGGGACTGAGCCCTTAACCTGTGGGATCTGATGCTATCTCCAGGTAGAATTGAGTTAATTGCTTGATGATGATGTTGGAAAAAACACACATTGGAGTTATGTTCCTTAGGGCTCTTTAAGTCTTTTAACAGTCTGCCTTTTTCATGTCATTGATTAGTTGAAGAGGCTGGACCAGTTGATAAATGAGAATATTTATTTAAATTTATTTGAACATTTAATAGTCTTTATTTAAACGTATTTAAATATTTAAGAATATTTAAGTTTATTTAAGAATATTTTCCTACAAGGCAAAAATTACATTGTTAGACTTTTCAATGTTAATAATTTCTTAATATAACCCAACACTTTAACAATATTCACATTTTCTCAAAAAAAAATTTTTTTTTTTTGTGAGTAGGACTAGCCCTGAGCTAACATCCAACGCCAGTCTTCCCCTTTTTTCTTGAGGAAGAATGGCCTTGAGCTAACATCCATGCCCATCTTCCTCTACTTTATATGGGATGCAGCCGCAGCATGGCTTACCAAGCGGTGCGTCGGTGCGCGCCCGGGATCCAAACCGGCGAACCCCGGGCCGCCGAAGCAGAGTGCACGCACTTAACCACTTGCGCCACCAGGCTGGCCCCTCAAAAAATTTTTTAAGTCTTTTACATCTGTTTTTTTTTTAAACTAGGATATGATGTAGAACCACACACTGGAAATGGTTGTTTTGTTCTCTCAGTGTTTTTTAATCTGCAGCAATCCCTTTTATTCATGTCAGGAACTGGTTGATGATACGAGACGATACGAGACTAGTGTCTTACAGAAAGACCCACCTTCTGGATTTGGTTCCTTGATCCCTCTAATGCTATGTTGTCCAATACAGTAGCCACTAGTCATATGTGGCTATTGAGCTTTTGAAATGTGGCCAGTCCAAATTGAGGTGTGCTGTGAGTGTAATACACACATTGGATTTCTAAGACTTAGTATAAAAGAAATGTAAAATATTTCACTAATAATTTTTTATATTGACTACATGTTCAAATGATAATCTGGGTATATCAATTTAAATAAATTATATTATTAAAATTACTTTTACCTGTTTCTTTTTCATTTTCTTAGTGTTTCCACAGTAGTCTCCCCTTATCCACAGTTTCACTTTCCACGGTTTCACTTACCCTTGGCCAACCACGGTTTGAAAATATGAAATGGGAAAATTCCAGGAATAAACAATTCATAAAGTTCAAATTGTGTGCAGTTCTGAGTAGCATGATGAAATCTCGTGCTGTCCTGCTCTGTCCTGCCCAGGACTGAATCCTGTCTTTGTCCGGGTGTCCACACTGTGTACGCTACCCGCCCGTTAGTCACTTAGTGGCCATCTCAGTTATCAGATTGACTGGCGGTATTGCAGTGCTTGGGTTCAAGTAACCCTTATTTTACTTATAATGGCCCCAAAGTGCAAGAGTAGTGATGCTGGCAATTCAGATATGCCGAAGATTAGCCATAAAGTGCTTCCTTTAAGTGAAAAGGTGAAAGTTCTCCATTTAATAAGGAAAGAAAATAAATCGTCTACTGAGGTTGCTAAGGTCTCTGGTAACTTGTATTACAGTATATTGTTATAATTGTCTTATTTCATTATTGTTAATCTCTTAATGTGCCTAATTTATAAATTAAACTTTATCATAGGTATGTATGTATAGGACAAAGCATGGTGTATTCAGGGTTCACTACTCTCTGTGGTTTCAGACATCCCCTGGGGGTCTTGGAACGTATCCCCCATGGATAAGAGGGGACTACTGTACTGGAAAATTTTGTTTGGCTCCCAATATATTTCTATCAGATAGTGCTATTCATCAGATTTTAAGATTTTATTTATTTATTTTTTTCCCCCCAAAGCCGCAGTAGATAGTTGTATGTCATAGCTGCACATCTTCTAGTCGCTGTATGTGGGATTCGGCCTCAGCATGGCCGGAGAAGCGGTGCCTTGGTGCACGCCCGGGATCTGAACCCGGGCCCCCAGCAGCGGAGCGCACGCACTTAACCGCTAAGCCACGGGGCCGGCCCAATTCATCAGATTTTAAATCAGAAAATTGCTACTCCGAAATGACTCCACATCAATTCCCTGAGATATAGTAGAAAAAAGAACATCAACAGGCTGAAGTGTTCCTTAGCTAGAGTTTTGTAACTTTTAGTTGCTTGTCCTTTCATGTAGAAGCTAAATGATTTTCCATGGTGCTCTAGCCTGGAGCATTTTAAGACCTAATATCCTACAAGCATGGCATTGTCTGATAGATGAAGCAGCCGCTGAAGATTTTGTGTCCCTGAGAGCTGAAAGTGTTAAATAATGGAAACCTGTAAGTGTGCCACGAATGCTAAATAGAGTTGGTAAGCTAGTGCTGCTGATTTAAAAGAAAAAAAGTATATGAGCTAATGAAAGTTCATGCTTCATTTATTTATTTATTCGTTTATTTTTAGTGTTGGAAAACCTCGAAGAGACGATTGTCTCCAATTTTGGAGCATTGGAAAATCAGCCTGATTTCCGAAGCCCGGAGTTTGTGAGTACTACTACTCTGCCTTAAATTTGTATCGGTTAGCTAGAGGTTTTTCACAAAATGGAGAAAAAGTGTTTTTTATGAATTCTTGCCTTCCGTGGCTCTAGATCTGGCACAGGTCCTGCTGGCTGTGACTACGTGTTCAAAGTTCTGGTTCCCTGGGGAACAGGTTACTGAACTACGTGTCGGGAGATCATGCTCTGTAGGCTCGCTCTTCATACTACATGTAATTGCAAATGGGAACTCATTCTGCAGTAAAATAGCATTGTGTTTCTGAAACTCGGCCTTTATTCATTGATATCCTTGCTATCAGTTTCTGCTGTTAGTAATTCTGGAAACCAGTCTTTACTGAGCACAGGCAGGTACGTTGACCAGTCTGATTCCCATTTCATTCTGGAGCCTTCGGTAATACAACATATATAAATATGTCTTGTAGGGCTGGGAATATTCTATTGGTTGTTCCTACCAAGAGGGGAACTAAATGCTCCCGATAAATTAGACTCATTAAAGATTAGCTATCGTTCCTACCCTTAAGGAATTAAAAATCTTATTAGATGCTACTGTGATTTTATTAATGCCTTGTTTAAAGAGAATGAAACACATATAGGATGTCTTGTACAGACTGTCCTTACTAAATAGATTTTATATTAGGCTCATTTGGAGAGGGGGATGGGAAGAAGTGTTTCTCCATATTATTGTACCAGATGTGTAGGAAAAACACGCCAAGATCCACTTAGATTTACTGATTTTTGCCGCCTGCTGCAAATGGGCTTGTCTACCACTTTAGCAATGCAAAAATCTTTTTTAGCCTTAATTTCAAAGTGTGATATACCGTCGCCACTCCAGTAATTGGCAGAGCACAATTGTATTATTGATAAAGACAAAAAAAGAACTCATTATATACTGTTCCTCTTCTCACTCACTCACTATGGATTGCCCACTCAATTCAGCCAAGAGTGAGGAAACTAGGCAGTGCTCTAGACTGAAAAGGGATTGCGCGTGTAAAACTGTATCCACAATGCCATTTTATTTCAAAGTGTGGGACTCCTGTGGTGTTGCAGCAGATTGCCTACTGTGAAAATCACTTGGATGTAATAGAAAGACATAGTATTCAATGACTTTCTTATTATAGTCAATGAGATTTTCAGTGAAGGAAAGTTGTGAATGCTTACCAATATTCCTGCATCTTAAAGTAGCAGAGTAGTTTGTGATTTTTCTAACTTCAGCAGTTAAAGCCCCAAAGCAGAATTGACACAGATACTTCACATTTGAGGATGATACTGGTATAAACTCATGGAGCTGGTTCTTTTTTGTTTTGTTAGTTTCTATCTGCTTTTCGCTGGTAATCTTTAAGCAACATATCTAACCTAAAAAGAGCTGTGTGCGATAAGGTGTTGGTGTGCCTGGTAAACACATATATAGTTCACACCCATTCCTTGTGTGAAAATAAAAGTAAACAGATTTTAGTATATTATGATGTTTGAGATTGGCATGCTTCAGCCAGCAGTGTCTTTGCCACAGACAGCCTGCACTGGTTATTACACTGGTAATCTTCCACCTTCAGTGTTAACTTCTTGACTGCCACATTTTCCTTTTCAAGGTATGAAGACTGGTGAGTCTGAGCTAGAATGAGCGATGGGGGAACTAGAGGGTCACAGAATACATTTGCTGTTTTGAGAGACTTGTCTTAACCATGAGTCTGAGCAGACTCAAGGTGGAAGGAAATTCTTAGGCTAAATCCCCATATTTATGGTTTTCACTGTGATGCCTCAAGAATATCTGGAGTCATTTCTTTAGACCGCATCAGTGGAGTTGAAGTTATAAGTCACCATTTCCTTATACATGTCAGATTTCTATATCCTGGCTATTATCTTTCTCTAACTGGGTGTTCATACCATGTTCAGGAAGAAATTTGTAGTTTTCATGTGCTTTATAGATTTTCACGTGTGATGCTCATTGCATGCCACATCTTTGCATAGCACGTGCATAGCTGCCTGTATTTCTCACATCACTATGGCTTGTGTACTCCCAGTTCCATTATAAACATATTATACAAACTGCTGTCTCCATGGTAAACAAACGGGAGGTGTAGAAGGTGCCTTGAGAATAGGGTACTCGAGGGAATCAGGCGTGGTATTTAAGGGTAGCCTTTTTTGTAGGCGGAAAGCTATAGCATCCGTGAAAACGGTGGCTCTAGTCCTGGAGGCAGGCGGATTGGGCAAATGTCAGGACAAAATCAGGTAAGTTGATCCAAAGCAAAGTTTTAAATCAGAAACAGGGGCGACAATACAAACCTGGGAGTAAAAAGAACCCAAAGGCAAAGAAAAATGGAAACAGAAATAAGACTGAGAAGAAGAAAAGGAGCTGAAAGATTAATATTCTGTTTTCCTCCATCTGGCATTTTGGAATGTCCAGCTGCAGTTTGCTGAGTTGAACTGAAGTAAAGCAAGGCAAAGACCCTGTTTACTCAGGCCTTATCCTCAAATAGTTCAGATTTTAGGAGGATCAAGAGCCTAGTGTTTTTATACAACAGAGTGTATTTATATAGTTTGGCCAGCAGGGAGAACAAAATGCTTATCATTATTAGTTTGTTTCCTTCAGAATTTCTGTTTTTTCTTTCGTTGGAAACAAGGCCTAAGAGAGCAGTGTTGGTTGAGTAGCCTTGGTTACCAGCATAAGCACATTAAAGTTCTCCTTCACAGCTCATGTGTCTGTAATGTGACTGGTCAGGCAAAGCTGGTGCTTTACATAGAGTCTGTGTAAATCATGGGTAAATAAATGCTGTTGTGAATCCTCCATGTGGCCTGAAGATAGCAACCCACCTTGTTCTTGGCAGGGCCCACACTGGTTCTCCTTCTCTGTTCCCTGCAGAGTTTGTCCATTGATGATCTGTCATCTGCATACCTGCGTTTCTCCTTTCCACCTTTCATTCCACTTTGCAGACTGAGGCAAGTGAATTTAGCCAAACCATGCTAAAATGTTAAGGGGTGAACAGAGATGTAGACGTAAGGCGTGTGTGTTTTTGCTACCCCAGAAACTTGCGAGGAGCTGGCAACACGTTGAAAGTAGACATAGACCCACTCTGTCCCGTGCTGGTTTTTTCCTCTAATATTTTTGTTATCTTGTCTAACATTATCTGTTCCCTTGTGTCAAGAACTATAATTCATCACATTGTAATTTTCAAAGCAGTTAGTTCAAGGGGGATCTAGTCAGGGAAATGGTGGCATGGCCATCTGGAACCATGTGATGGGTGACCGTCATTTTGGGACATGGACCCTGAAAATAGACTGGGTGCATGATAATAGGTATCAGAGTCTGGGGAACAAGATCAGCCGTAGTGAGGCTGGGGAATCAGTACCAGAGACCTAGGTAACCTTGCAGAGTACAGAGTTAGAAGCAGAGCCTGCAGAACTAGGCAGCCTGGTTAGAATCAAGGATGGGGAGCCATCTACATGGCAATGGAGCAGATAAAGGTGGTTCTGTAATATGGTAGCATGCAGATGGAGGGCATCCCAGGCTCCCCTCTCGTGCTCCCAATCTCAAATCTGGTTAAGAGCAGAGGAGATCTGAGGGGCCCGTTCGGGGTCTCAGCAGTCGTGGCTGGCCCAGTGGACCCCAGGTTAATTCCAAGCCCCAAGGTGTGGGGAAAAAACTGGGGATTGAGAGGTCGGTAGGAGGAAAGGAAGGGTAATGGTCAAGGCTCTTTCTAGAAACCCTGCCTCTGTTGGCACTCACCCAGGAACTCAATTGGGCCTGATTGCCAGAGTACACATGGGGTGAGGGATGTGTGTGGGGAAGAAATCTGATCTAGCAGGGGTGAATCTGCTTGCAGCATGCTGGCTAGAAACCAGGCTGTGGTCGACATGAAAATACATGGAAGGAAAGAGAAGGCTAAGGAATTATATTTTATGATCTGAGTCTTGCTGGTAATACCCTGTTTTCCGGCCTCTCCAGAACTTGAGGTTTATAGATAACTCTCCTGACTTTTTAGAGGAGGAAGATTCTTATCACCTATGTCTCGTGCCAGTTGATGATTTCCTTTGTTTAGCTTCTACCAAATTTAGAGTAAATAATAAGAAAGAGTTAGGGCTGGCAAAAGAGTATTAGGATTACAATAGGATAAATCAGGGAAGATGATGAGAAAATACAGGATTTAGAAAGACTAAACTAGAAAAACAGACTTAGGAAGATGAGGATTAAAGTGGAGCAAATACGTGTCCCCTTCTTTCAGCACTCATGGTTATATAGACAGAAGGAGGCCTGAAGAGTAATTATCCCATTTGAGATTTTGTGTAACTGGCTCCGTTTTGAGGGAAGATACTTTATACTGTTTATTTATTTATACTAATTTATACTATTGATTCTCTTAAATTCAAATTTGACTGTTTTTAACCAGGTGAAAATAGATGTGATCCCCAAGAAAGAGTTAAAATGTTAATTCATTCAACAAATATTTGATGTCTACTATTTTAAGCACTAAAGTGAACAAACAGAAAATCTCCCTGCACTTGTGGAGCTTACATTTTGGTGGAGGAGGCATAAAACACAAATTGAAGAAGATACTTAACATGTCACATGATGTATAAGTCCTTTAGCGAAGAAAGTAAAGATTGTCAGGGTGTGTTGTGGGGAGGGTTACAGTTTTAAATGGGGGTGTTAGGGCATATCTCACCGAGAAGGTGACAAGTGAAAAGACCTCAAAGCAAGGGTACTGGAGCAGACTATTTGGAAATTTAGATGAAGAGCATTCCAGGCAGAAGGAATAGCATAGACAAAGATCTTGAGGTGTGGGAATTTGTGACATGTTTGAGGAAATGGAAGGAGGCCACCGTGACTGGATAGAATGAAGGATGGTGAAAATAGTAGATAGTAGGGACTCTATAGGCTACTGTAAACACTTTGGTTTTACTCTGTGTGAGTTGGGAAGTTATTTGAGGGTAAGCCTTTGGAGGATAAACTGGGGAGGTTTTGAGCAGAGGAGTGACTTGACCTGACCTCACCTA